AGGAGAGAGTTGTACCTGGTAACACCTGCCATTCCATCTTCTATTCCGAACCCGAGTACCTTGGATGGCTGCTACCAGTGTTCACTACCCAACAACGTAGGGGGTAAAACAGAAGCACTAAGTCAGTTATTTTTTAATCCACTTGCCACACTCTGCTTTTTGACTGGAAAGTCCAGGCTGTGTACGTGTAACCTGATGAGGAATATATAAGAACTTACTTCTGCCCGTTTGTTATTTCTATATCTCATAGATTCTTGCTCCTCACTCTCTCCAGCACTGCCATCAATTGCGTTTCGTTAGTTCTTTTTTTTTTGTAATGAGCCATTTGACTATTTTTTTATTTCCTTTTCATTACATTTTTAGATGGTTAAGCATTGGGCTGCTAACTGTAAGATTGGCAGTTCAAATCCACAGTCCACTCTTCAGGAGAAGATAAAGCTGTCTGTCCCTGTAAAGATGTGCAGTCTCAGAAATCTGGAGACCAGTTCTACTCTGCATGGACTCACAGGCATTGGATTGGGCTTGGTGCCTCATCACATCTAACATCTTAAATGTCTAACAACCTTGTTTAAATTGACACCAACTTAATTTCTGGAACATATAAAAACTTTGTTCCTTTACAACGCCATCTCCCACCACCTTTCTGTAGCTGTTGTTATAATCTCTCTTTATATTATGTGCCCAGTCACTTAGATGTATAGTTTATATATTGATTTTTCAGAGCCATTTAGAAATTACTACCAAAGTTAAAAGCCAAGAATATCATAAAACCCCAATACCACGGGCCCCTTCCTTATCTTTGCCATTAGATGACCTTGGTTGGACATCTTTATTTTCTGTACGCATCTTCGCTATCTTCTAGCGTCCTGTCAGCGCCATCGGAAGGACGACATTCGCAGTTCTCCTGCAAGTCTAGTCATCGAGCACGCATCAGGTATTTGTTTGTCTGAGGCTCCTGAGCTCATTCTTAAAGACAATGTTGCTACACACAGACAGCTCTGTTTCTGCTTCACTTCTATCATTCCACTGCCTTCTTCCCTTCAGGGTTTCTACGGAAAACTGCCACCGGACCTGAGGACTTCTCGTACGTGACAATGTCTGCTCTCTTGCTTTCAGCATCTTCTCTTTGGCCTTTGCGGGTTCGTTATAATGTGTCTCAGGGGGGTTTTTTTAGGCAGCCTATTGGGAGTTCATTGAGATTCATAAATTTGTGCAGATTCAAATACATTCCCAAATTTGGAATGTTTTCTGAATTATTTTTTCAAATATTCCTTCTGCCCCTTTCTCTCACTTCTCCTAGGAGTCCCTTGACACATGAGTCCCCATTTAGTGGTGCCCAACTTAGCTACACTGATTTTTGTTTTCATTTGTTCTTTTCCTGAGTTGCGGGGGGGCCTCCTCAACCTCTAGGATCTCAACTGCCTTATTCTCCAGTTGACTGATTTCTTCCTCTTCCAGCTCAAATGTGACAGACCTTCCATCGGATTTTTCATTTCAGTTATATTTCAACTCCAGGAATTCTGTTTGGTCTCTTTATTATGTTTTTTGCTTATGTATCGTTTTTCCTTCTAGCTCACTTTTACCCTTTAATTCATTGATTCTTAAAATGGCCAATAGTGCTCTGAGGGGTGCTAGAACAATTGGGGGGTGGGGATGCACTGTAAAAGCAGGTACCTACACTTTATCCTGGATTATGTGATAGAGCACAAAATGTTTTAATTGCCAGGCATTGAATAGCTTTTTTCCTGTAAAGGCAGTGGTATGGCAAATAAGTGAGGGAACCTATGTTTAGTTTTTGAGCATTTTAACACTAGTGTTTTAAAGTCTTCTAATCTGTCTACATGGAGCCCTGGTGGTTTGGTTTAGGTCAGCAGTTCAAAACTACCAGCTGCTCCTTGGGAGAAAAATGGGGCTTTCTGTTCCCATGAAGAGTTAAAGTCTTGGAAATCCACAGGGGCAGTTCTACCCTGTCCTGTAGGGTAGCTTATGAGTCAGCATGGACGTGATGTGAGATTGAACTTTGAGAATTTGTTTATGGCTTCCACGAAGACAATTTTCCCCTATGTCTTATTCTTTTGAATGGGTCATCCTTTTCAATTTTGGGGTGGTTTTTTTTGTATGTCTTGCGATTCTTGGGTTGTTGAATTTGGGACATTAGATTATTACACTATGTAGCACTCTGCATAGTGTGACTTTTCAGTTCCTCCACATGCAGTGTTTTGAAAGCACCAACTCCCAGGTGGTCACAGCCTTGTGTCTGCTCACCACTCCCTCTCCCACTCTTTGTAAGGCCAATTTGGGTCAGAGGGCTGCGGGAGTCCTTGAGGCACTCCCAGAGATCAGAACAGACTTACCCAACAGTTTACCACAAAGCATGCCATACGAGAGCAGGCAAGCTGGGGTCCAACTCCACTGCGGCTGCCCATCCGCTTTGCCACAGGGGGAGGGTTGGGACCGGTAGAAAAGTAAGTTTTCTGACTACTTGAAAGTTCCCATTTCCTTTCTTCTTTTTTTACCATACAGTGCTGCAATCCTCAGCCTCCTTGTCAGCGTTCTGACAGAAATTACATTACAGATTTCTCATCCCTTTTCTTGGGAGAGCGTGGGACCCGCTCACACAACTACCTTCAAAGATGGCGCTATTGTTTGTCAATGATACCTCTGACTGTGGGTCAACAGTATTTTTTTTAAGGCTCCAGACTTTTCCACAGAAACGTTAATTGTGGCAAAGTCATCGCTCCAAGCGTAGTATGTTATTTTTTCCAACGATTTAAAAGTTAAATTAAAATAGGTGTAACAGCAGGCTCTGGGTGGGGTCTAGGACCCACTTGAAGAAGAAGATGGGATTAGCTGATCATTAATGCTAACACCTGGGCTAGTATTCGTTAACGCCAATATCTCCATGTCCACATGCATTTTATAACGAGGAAGTACTGAATAAGAGCATTCTAAACAAGTTGTTTTATTTTCGTCATTTTTCAATCTAATGTGGCATGATGTGCAACCGACACTCCATAAGTCCCAAAGTAACCTGGAATGGGGTATGTCCACATGAACAATTAGAGTGTTCTGAGAAAACATCTAACTCAATTTATATAAAAAGTAAAAAAGATGAAGCTTATGGATCCATCCCTTAAAGCTTTCCCCAGTATAATTTGGTTATTTATTTCAGAATATAAACCATCAAAATAAAATGTGGGGAATATCCTTTAATGCTATTCATTAGAAAAATGTAAAAATCGTTCTCTAGAAATCTTCCCATGTCAATGAAACAAGACTCTTTAAAAGGCAAGTGAATTAAGTGGTCTTATTCAGTTCAAGCCCAAGGGATTGTTCCGGTGTTCCATCACTCCAAGTACACAAGACGAAAATTTACCTTGAGGAGTAGCTTTTCATGGTGCATGTTATCAGAATCGTAGGGCTTTTTTCTTTCATTTTCAACATCCACATACAGCTGTTTATAGCCAGATATCTGCAGCAAGCAGGCCTTCATACAGATTTTAAAACTGAAAATTATAACATGTATTAGTTATAAATCACATCCCGCTAAAGCAATGCCTTCCACAGCATGCCGTTCATATGTCTATTTAGAAACGCATTTCCTGGAAATCGGCCCTAAGAGCTCCTTAAACAAGAAGCATTGAACTCAGTCTCATGTACAATAGAATTAACTGGGGTCTGGAAAGGGGCAAGACATAGGAATTGCAAACTTAACAGTTAGATTTTTTTTCTCTTCCATTTTTCATGGTTTCCCTAGATATTATCATATATTCCAAATCCTTATTGCTTGACACAGCTACAGATCTAAATTTCCAAATATATAATGAGCCAACATATACAATGAACCAACTGAGGTACAGCAGGTATCTGAGCTTGTCCACATACCACAGCGTATCTTCTCAGAAACAGGCTCTTTCTAAGACTCTAAATCTACCAACGGCATCACGTATCAAGTCTGAACAAGCAGAATTCTGTCTTCTTACTCTATCAACAATATATCCCACAGGTCCCCAAGTTCTTAGCCCTCAATCTCTGCAGCGTGCCTCAAAGAAACCCTCCGGCGCCCCCTGCTGTCTACTTGGCTCCATCATCTCCTGTCTGAATGCCTCACGTGCATCCTACCCGTCCTGTCTTCATTCCCTCTTCCAGCGTCCTCATCCCCAAGGCTATCGTCCCATCTTTCTAAAATACAAATCTGCTCATGGAATTTATTTGCTCATCAAAACAGAGAACACATTCTAAATCCCTCAGTGTGACATTCAAGACGTTTAGCAATTTATCTCAAGTTTAGCATTCTATTCATTTCTTCAGCCACTGCTCTGCACATCTTCAACGCTCCAGTCACAAAGCATTCCCTAAGCTCCCAGACAGTCATACCCCTCTACTTCTGTGTCTGGCTGGCACTGCCCTTCTTCCTAGAATGTCCTCCCTTACCCGTTCATCAGTGTCCAACCCGAGGGTCACCTTACAGTTCTCCCCTCTACCAGCTCCCTTCCAGGAAAAATAAACGGCTCCTTCCTTTACACTAACATACACATGGTGACCGAAGAGTAAAAATTGCTGAACACCCACTGTTTCAGCTAATGCACTATGACTGAGGAGATGAAAATCAAGTGAGCAAGCACCCCTCTTCTTAAGGAACTTAAGCGTTTACTAGGGAAGAACAAGAGTGAATCAGTGACTACAGTCTAGTGGGTTAAATGCTATGCTAGAGTGCTCTACTCACAGAGACCCTACAGGGTAGGGTGGAACTCTGCCGTGGGTTTCCAGGATGGTACATCTCTATGGGAGTAGAAAGCCTCATTTTCACCCCTTGCTGTGGCTGGTGGTTTTGAGGTGCTGACCTTGCAGTTAGCAGCCCAAATGAAACCACTCTACCGCCAGGGCGCCTATGCGCCAGAATCGATACGATGGTAGTGGGTTTGGTTGTCTGAGAATGCTCTAAGTGAGGACGGAGCAAAGGCACCTGGCTAACATGGGAGGAGGCAGGATGGCCTTGGGGCGGGGAGGAAACCAGAGGTACATTTAAAGAGCAGGGACCTAGCAGTTGCGCTATTGAATTGTAGGAAAGTCATGTTGTTACCAAAGAAAGTGGCAATAGCACTCAACTGAGGAGCAGAAAACTCGGGTCTTAGCTCTGCTTTTATCACTCAAAGCCAAACTCACTGTTACTGAGCTGAGTCTGACTTACAGAAACCCTGTGGGCCAGAGCAGAACTGCCCCCTACGAGTCCCCCAGGCTTTACGTCGTTATGGAACAGAAAGTCTCCTCTTTCTTCCGTGGAGTGGCTGATGGGTTCAAATTGCTGACTTTGACATTAGCACCCAACTGCATACCCCACTACAGCATACGCCTCTAGATGAAGTGCCTCATCTAGGGAAATGGGAAGAGTGGATTAGCTGTGCTCCACACACCCTTCTGCCCTAACCGCTCACAAATCGCTCGCTGGACACTAGTGCCTCATAAAAAAGGAAAAGAAGACTGCAGAACAGCATACCTGACATCCTTCTCAGAGACGATGTTCTTCTCCTTCATGATGTCTTCCACACACTTGTCGATTTCACTCTGCACGACCCGGGTAGCCTCCTGCAAGACCTAACAGAAGTGCAATACAACGCATTCCATGGCTGAGGGACTGGTCAGTGCTGAACCATGTCACCGGGTTACCTCAGATGCTAGTTTCCAAGGCTCCCTAGGGCCACACTCATGCAAGTGTCTACACACGTTTTTGATAAAGGAGGTACAGCATGACATATCTGATAAAGGCATCCCTCATAAGGAAGCCACGGGCTTCGGCGAGCGAGCCACCCTGTGCTTATGAAGCAAATTGTAATTGCATAACAATAACAGCAATAAATCTATGTATTAAAAAAGTTACATGGAGAAATCAACCGACCCCTGGTGGTACACTGGTTAAGTGCTCAGGTGCTAACCAGAGGTGGACTGTTCAAACCTACCCTGGGACTCCATGGGAGAAAGATACAGCAATCTGCTTCTATAAACATGATAGCCAAGGAAATTCTACAGGGCACTTCCACTCTGTCACATGGGGTCGCTGTGCGCTGGAAATCAACCTGACACCCCCAAACCATGGCAATCCCACCAGCAGAGCCAGCCCCTAGGGCCAGCTTATGTAGAAGATTGTGGTCCTTTGCGTGGCGTGTGCATGTGGCGATGACACAGAAAAACCATCCGTCTATAAACGTCCCCTGGGCCTTTCCTTGAAACCAGGATTTCCCAGAGTGCGTGGCATACTCCAGAGAACAGGAGAATGATCAAGAGGGGCTACAAGAAGCAGGTACCCATGCTTAATCCTGGATCAGCGGCCACGGAACAATAGTTTTCATTTCTAAGGAGAACGGAGTTATTTTATTTTTTCTGAAAAGTGGGGGTAGTTAGCCAAATAAGTTTTGGAACCCATACGTTAAACGAAGAAGCAAACGCATGCCCTCCTTATCTCTAAAATGTTTCTTTCCTCGGTTAGCTATCATCTCTTAATACCCTTACCGTCCAAGTTGATTCAACTGCGTTCTTTCTGATCAACCTGCAGCTCTGCCCCCACCGACTCTGAGGCCTCCGTCTGGAGCACGCCTCCCCCCCCCCCCCTTCCCTGTAATACAACGGGGGAGGCAAAGGAAAGGACACCAAGCCCACTGCCATCGAGTCAAGTCCGACTCTTGGTGCCCTTGCAGGACACGGCAGAACTGCCCCGCAGGGTTTCCGGGGCTGCAGATTTTCACAGAAGCAGGCTGGTCGCAGTGCGTGGGTGTGAACCACCAAGCTTTCAAGCGAGCAGCCAAGCATTTGACCACTGCGCCACCAGGGCTCCTTAAACACAAATCCTCCCTACTTCTAAAAGCAGCTCAAACGGCAAGTCCACAGACCATCCCCTGATCCCTGTCTTGGGGACTCCACAAGCCGTGGGACAGAGTAGAACTGTCCCCTGGGGTTTGTTTCTAAGGCTATCATCTTTGTGGAAGCAGACTCCTGCATCTTTCTCCCTTAGAACGCCGGGCGCTTTTTGCACCATTGACCTTTAGGTTAGTGATGGAAGCTTTTCACCACTGTACCACCAAGCTCCTTGTCTGTCCTATATTTTTATATGTAAGTGAAATATTCCTCAAGGATGGAGATTCTGTCTGATTCACCTTTTCATATTCTGCATGTAATAGACAACTGACCGATGATGACTGCATGCATGGAGGTATTCATAGCCAAGCTTCTTAAGAATATAAAAGCCCTATAAAGCAATGCATATAATTATTTACAGGAGGCAGGGCCCCCCTGACTCCCCAGAGAAAATGCAAAGCTACAAAGGAAAAGGATGGAATATTCTAAGCCACCAGTAAGGATTCAGAGATCAACCAGGTCTACTTCATCAAGCTCCGGGATAATTTGGCCACAGGAAAGATCTTGAAGCTTGAATACTGGCAGAAGCAAAGGGGCTTCGCCTCGAGCGGGTGTGTAAGAGATGCGGCCCGGTCCATGTGGAGAATGCAAAAACTGTACCCGATAGAAACAAAGTATGGGCCCAGAACAGACCCCCGGAGCACACTGATCTGCTAATACAACGGCTCTCAAAAGGGCTGTGGCTGGTCCCCAAGAGCAGCAGCAGCAGCAGCAGCATCACCCCTTGGGAGCGTGTTGCAAATGCAGTCAGAATGGAACCCAAACAGGTGGCGGGCTGGGGCCCAGCCACCTTTCTTTCCACAGCTTCCCGGGGTGTCCTGGTGCACCATCCAGCTGAAGAGCACTCTGTCCTAGATCTGGAAAGGAGTACCACTTACATATTAGAGCAAAGCCTCTTCTATTAGGACATTTAGAACAGTTCATTTTAAAATCGGGATATTCTTTTTTTTTAAAAATCAAAGCTCCACGTTGTTTTCTAGAATCAATATCTCTATATAATCTTACCTTATTCTTCGAGTATGTTAAGGAATGTTCTGAAATGAAAAAAAAAAATAACAAAAAGTTGTCCCTTAAATGCTGTTTCTAAATTACTGCTTATGAATAGTAAAAACATGAAGGCAATCACACATTATTTTAGTAAGTTCTGAAGATACAATTTTTACATATATAACAAAGAATGCATTTTAAAGGTTTCAGTATAGGGAAGTATTATTCCATAGATTCAACCAAACAAACATGCCAAAGCAGAGAGGTAAAAACCAAATCTGTTGCTAGTGAATCAATTCTGACTTAGAGTAGCAGTGTTCCCTGGTAGGGGCGGGGTGTGTGTGTCTTTTTGGCTATAATCTTAATGGGAACAGACCACCAGGCCTTTTTTTCATGGTACAGCTGTAAAGTTTGAACCATCACCCTCTAGGTTAATAACCAACAGCAAACCACTGGTGATACCTAAAAACCCAGTAGTGTAGTGAGTTATGTTTTAGTCAGGAATTCAACCCCACCAGCTGCTCTGCGGGATTCAAGAGGAGGCTTTCTGCTGCCGGAAAGATTTATAGCCTTGGAAATGCACTGGGCCAGTTCTACCTAGTGCTGTAGGGTGGTTTTGATTCAAGGGCAGTGGCAGTGAGCTGTATGAGTTAGGGAACTCTACAAAGTGTGCCCCAAATCCCTCTGCTGACACAGAGTCCATGTACGGCAGAGTCGACCTGCTTCCTTGGTTTCCCAGGCTGCAAAACTCTTAAGGAGACAGACGGCCTCATCTGCCTCCTGCAGTGACCGGTGGGCTCAAACTGCTGACCTTTCTGTTAGCAGCCCAATGCTTAGTCCACTGTGCTACCAGGGCTCCTTCAAAGAGATGGAGCTGACCACACTTCCTCTGGGGTCACTGTACAGACCCAAGTGTCTACTCACCCCCACAAATTCAGGCACAACTGCCTAGGAATAGTTCATATTCCAGAAAACCAGTGAGGATGCGCTGGGCTACCACTCTTTCACTGGGTCACCGGACAGAGGTGGCATTTAGACCGGAGCTGCGAGCAACTGAACCACACAACCGAGAGGCGACCAGGAAGGGACTTTAGGTTATCTGGCCCACTCTTCTCTCCCAGAGAACTCACAAATCAGCCTCTCCATTCTCAGCTCTGTCTCAGGGATGGCAGGAACAGCTTTACTGGCCTACTTTAAAACATTTCTGATACATTGGCCCATCCAACTCCAGTAGGCAGTAGGGCAGAATTGTTCCTGTGGGTTTCTGAGACTATAAATCTTTATCTTTCTCCCCCAGGTGCGGCTGGTGGTTTTGGACAGCTGACCTTGTGGTTAACAGCCCAACTTGCCTCCTCCTATGCCACCAGGGCTTTTTCTCAGAAATGAAAAAAATTCAATAAAATGTTTTTGCCACAATATAAAGCCTTAACACAGGCTCTTCCCCCACACTACAGAACACCAGCCAAGAGGGATGGCAAGTTTCTGATCAAGAGGTACTTAGTTGTTCTCAGAGTGCAAAGGGCAAATCAAAAGATAAGGCAATGATCCCTTAGCCAGAGAGGTCTGAGAAAACTCGGGAAGTAATTAAAGTTCAACCACTCAGCTGCCCTGAGGTTTACGCTTTCATTTTGTGGCCATCATTCTTCTAATGCTGAGAGGCCTGTCCCAACGGCCACTGTCCTGTTCCCCCAAACCTACCAGGAATTTCAGTGAAAGCATGCTTGTTCAACACAAAACAGAAATCTGCTTCATCTGCGATTTCCCACTCAAACAAGTCAAAGCCTGGCCTGCTGTGGCAGGTTCTTGGTTCTCCTTATCGTGAGCCAGCAGCAGTGACCTTGGCCACAGTTCCCACTCCCCGGGGATCCCATCACTCCTCTGTACTCTCATTTAAGGTGGTAGCACGGACATGTTGGGGTAATGTGGGCAAAACGTAAGCCCACGTTCCTAGGAGCCATATTCAAGAGGAAAAAGAAACAGGTACAGTCACTTTTGTTTTTAACCCAATAGATCCAAATGACTATCATACCAACATCTCAGGAGTATAAAGTTGTTGAGATAGTTTTGCACTTTTTCTCTCAGAGAAAGCCTCTGAAAATCCAGTATGTATTTGACAGCGACATTCATTTCAATTTAAGCTAGTCACATTTCAAGTGCTCAACCCAGGTGGCTAGTGATCCCATATTAGACAATGTGAATTGCGTGTCTAGTAATCTTTGAGAAGGAGCCCTAGTAGGTTAGTGGGTTACGAGTTGGGTTACTAACTGCAAGGTTAGCAGCTCAAAACCACCAGCTGTTCTGTGGGAAAAAGACGGGGCTTTCTACTCCCCTAAAGAGTGACGGTCTTGGAAACCCACGGGGCAGTTCCACCCTGCCTGACAGGGTTGCTATAAGCCAACATCCACTCGTCGGCAGTGAGTTGGTTGAGTTGAAATCTTTCCTAGTTACCAGCCTTCCACAGATACCAATAAGAAATTCAAAGGTTGGTGAAGGATCTTGACTATCAAAGTGAGGCTTAGGCCATCTCTTCACCCTTTACCATCATTTGAGTGAAAATTTCAGAGATAGTAAAAGCACCGATTTCTCTCTAGAAAGTAGGTTGCAACCCAAGGAGCAAAGGGTAAGCTTAAGGAGCCACAGAAGAGCATCGTTCTCACACACGGGGAATTAAATACTAATCAGTTTCCATTATACATTTATAACATTTTAGAGAAGGACTCATAGCCACATTTCAGTTTATGAAACTAAGTTAAAGTGACTTGATTAGGACACCAGGGAATATATGTCCCTACAATCATTGAGGGGGGAAAATCCATTCAGAGCTACAATGTTCAGTTTTTTATTTCTTTTTTCAAATTAGTATTACCTATCCTGTATGTCCTTTGTGCACCTACATAGGTATCAAAAATCCGTTGCAATTCACACTTCCCAGTCATCTGTCGTAAGATCCATTTCATCCAGTATCGGAAAAAGTTTCCGTAGAAGAAATCCCACAAAGAAATAAACATGTTTTCTGGAGAAAGAAATGCAGAAAACAGGTTTGTGTCCAAATCATCAAAACTAATATAGTTCATCAACTCATCCAAACCAGTGTATTTCATTGTATCCATTCCGTGGTAGTGCTTACTGAAGCAGCTCAGAAGGGGCTAACAGTGGTAATACACACCACAGGTGAATTACATGATGGCTGGTCAAAGTAGCGCTTAAAAATATGAACTGCAGAAATCACAAAAACTTAAGAGCCAATCTACTGAATAAGTTGAAAAATAAACAGCAGAATAGTCTGGACTTTAAATTTTTTGCCTACACACTTGTTTTTATAGCTATTTTAATTTCTCATGCCTCCAAAATTGGATCTCAGCGTTCAAAAACGAGAGGAATCCAATGAAATAAGAATTTAAAAAAACATATACCGAACACCAAAATTGTGTTCATAAAGAAAAAAAATCCTTTTGCTCAACCCTCAAGGATAATTTTTCAGCTGACGCCAGCAAAAACACTACATATAAATGAAGTTTACAAGTTTAACATCGAGTAAATCACCCTGGTCAATTCCTGACTTTTCATTTCAAAGAGGCAACGGGCCAGAAATACTAGGAAACAAAAAACTACATCTTCCACAAAACGGATCATATCCTACGTACATTCCCCAGCTCTCAACGAATGCGGAGTGGGAAGGCACGGGGAGTCAAGTGAGGAGGGGCTTGTAAACAGACAAAAATCCTCATCTCCTTCTCGCCTACAAGATTCCCACAGGCACATCTCAAAGGACGAGGGCCGGGGGGATTGTCAGATTCGGAAAGCCCAGCCGATCGGTGCAGAAACGGTGCACCTCGGAGGGGGGATCAATTGTATCTGCAGCAGGTTTCCCCCAGGTCCGCGCTCAACAACACAAGAAGAGTCAGAAGGACTATTCCAGGCAACGGATCGTCTCCTGGGGCCAGAGCTCCCCAGACTTCGGGGAGTCGCTGCCGGCCGCCCCCCCTCCCAGACCTCGGGGAGTCGCTGCCGGCTCCCCCGCCTACCCCTCCGAGGCGAGGCCGAGCTGGCTGCGGGCAGAGGCTCTCACAAAGCTCTGCCAGTCCGGGGCCGGCGGACATTACGCAGGACCCTGCAGAGCTCGCGCACCGAACAGCGTAGGGCTGGGGAAGGGAAAACAACAACAACAACAGCCACCTCACAACGCCGAGGAGCTATGGGGGTAGGAGGGGGTTGGGGGACTGGGGATGCCTCGGTTTCCCCACTTGCAAGTCTTGCACTCACAGCCAGCAACGGAAACGACGCTACTCGCGGAGCGATCCCTGCAAGCACCGCGACCCGGAAGTCAAGGAGCAAAGCCAGGGACCGCCTTTCCCGGGCCAGAGCCCACCTCCCGCTCCCCCGGCCTCCTCCGATTGGCCTGCGCTCCACCTATCGCTGGCAGGCAAAGGAAGTCGGACGAAGTCGCCCCGGCGCGCCTGCTCGGATGGTGCGGACGCCGGGCGGTTACCGTGGCAACAGCAACCTGGTTGAGCACTGGGTCCTAAAGACTGCGCCCTCCTAGTGCTGGTCTTGAGCCTTCTCCCCATACGCCTCGGGTCTTCTGGGTTGAACTATTACCTACAGTGGAGTCAGGCATGCTTAATGCAAAGGTGACGTTTGAACGGTTTCCTGGAGGAGGAAGCAGAGTGTTCCAAGCCCAGAGGCATCACTGTGGTTTTGGTCATTCTTACAGTATCAAGTTTACAAAACCATGTCTGTCATATTGATGAAAAATAACAGGAGACTCACTGCCATGGAGGCCAGGTCGGCTCATAGTAATCCTATAAGACGGGATAGAACTAACTGCACCTTGTGGGTTCCTGAGACGAATTCGTTACAGGAGTCGAAAGGCTCATTTTTCTCCGGCCTACCTTGTTTCCCTGAAAATAAGACAGTGTCTTATATTCATTTTTGCTCCCAGATATGTGCTAGTTCTTATTTTCAGGGATGTCTTATTTTTCCATGAAGAATACAGTACACATTTATTGTTGGACAACAAAAATGGAAATGTATTACCTGTATATGGTACGGTAGTAGTTGTCATCACAAACCAGCATAACCAGACAAACTGAATCCTACAGTATCAAAAATTTCTTGTTACTACCATTATTTCCATGTACAACAATCTATGGTACATTTACTCATTTATTCAATGATAGTCATGTCATCATCTTCTGTAACTTCATCATAACCATCCAAACCCTTATTTTCAGGGAAGTCTTATTTTCAGGGGGATGCCTTATATTTCAGCGAGAGGCAAAACTGTAAGTAGGTCTTATTTTCGGGGGATGTCTTACTTTCGGGGAAACAGGGTAGCAACTCTTGGTTTGGAAATGCTAGCCTTCTGCCTGGTGTTCACATGTTGGGCTGCTAACCACAAGGCCAGCAGTTTGAAACTGCTGCGTGTGACTCCGCGTTAGAAAGAAGAGGGTTTCTGCTCCTGTCAAGGGCCAGTTCTATCCTGTCTTATAAGATCGTTGTGAGTCGGAATCAACTCAATGGCAGCGAGACCATTATGGCTATAACCCACTGTGCGTCCAGGGATCCTCAAGTTTACAAACTCACTGTCTGTGTGTATCCAAGACTGTACCTCAACTCCTCTTTCTCCTGAGGAGAGCCTGTGTGAACCAACTCCGCCGCCACGGCTCACCAAGTTGAAGCACTGTATTACGAGCTCCACTGGAGGGATGAGGAACTGGAACTCAAATGACTTGCCCTTGGCCCATATGTGGCAGGGAAGAATGGCTCCAGAAGAGGGAGCTTCAAAAAGTGCATGGAAAAAATACAGTGGAGAGATAATAGAATTTTTACATGTACTTTTTGAAACCTTTTCATATGTTGAGAAAAACAACTGAACCTTTTCCTGTAACAATAAACATCTAATGGTTTATTTATCAAAAAAATATGTTCCTTAACATGACTTTTATTGCAAAAGTAATTTATGGATATAATAAAAACCTCGAACAATACTTCATTAATTAATACCCATTTGTTGGTTACCTGTTACACACCAGGCAATATTTCAAAAGGGAGTCATGTACTAAACAAACAAGATACATTTATTATAGCAGATGGTACTAAGTGCAGGTAAGAGTAAGGTGACTCTGCTTCCAGGAAGTACAGTCCAGTATATTCCCTAGTGTGTTAGTCTGGGGTGGGTGGACTAGAGAAACAAATTTATGGACATTCATATGTGTCTAAGTAGAACTTTATATCAAAACACCCCAGCCCAGATCAAGTCGATAAGACCTATATTACCCCACATGTCAATACTAGTCCATAAATTCCTCTTTAGACTCAAGCAGCCATGCAATAATGCCAAATGCAGGAAAGTAACAGGCCAGTGGGTGGAAAGTCTTGTGGATCCAGTGGTGGTGGAAGCATCTCATGGCTGGTGTGGGTCTCCCGCTGGCTCCTCCAGTTCCAGGGCTCTGGCTGCCTCAGTGTAGCTCCACGTGGCTTGTCAGCAGGAAGACGAAGCAGAGAGTGTCCATCTGGCTTCCAGGGAGGAATACAGGAGTTCCCAGAATCCTCAAGAGAAGGCCATGCCCACACGGAGGCCTCATTGGCAGGATAGATCCCACCCATTTACACGTTGACAGGAGATTATGTAACTGCCACACCTAGGATCTGACCAAAGAGATTAGCATTCTCTTTTCTTGAGGAAAAATGTGGATTGAAAAGGATCAAGAGGCAGCATGATGCTATTTTCCAGGGACTGTCCTCTCCTAATGATATGTCCAAAGTACAGGAGAAGAAGTCTCACCATCCTTGTCTCCAAGGAGCACTCTGGCTGAACTTCTTCCAAGACAAATTTGTTTGTTCTTCTGGCAATCAATTGTACTTTCAATATTCTTCACCAACATCATAATTCAAATGTAGCTACTCTTCTGTTTTCCTTATTCCATGTCCAACTTTTCACATGCATATGAACCGATTGAAAATACCGCGGCTTTGGCCATCTCAGAAACCATCTAATAATACACACACACACACACACACTCACTCATATATATTCTAATATAGTAAAGGACCCAGAAAGACAAAGTACACAGCCAATTTGACAAATTAAGAAATAGAAACCAAATTCTATTCAGGAGTATTTCCATTATTACATAAACTATATAATGTTAAGTAAAATAAGTTTATAATAAAATTACATTTCAGTCTTTTACTTGAAAGTGTACCACAGGAGTTAGGAGCTCCAGAAAAGAGCTCTCTCTTCCTTGTCTCCAAACTGTCTCTTGACCCACTTCACAGGTTTGCTATGTTTTTTCAAGAGAATGCTCATCCTTTGGGTTAGAACCTAGGAAATTGACTGGACCGCATTTACTGGAAGCAGAGTTACTATACTTTCTACTAAGAGCATATACTTTGTACTAAGAGCATATACTTTCTACTAAGAGAATATATCTTCTACTAAGAGCATATACTTTGTACTAAGAGCACATACTTTGTACTAAGAACATACATTCTGAGCACCTGGTTACCAGAAGGTTAAGAATAACAGTGACAGCCCCAAATTCTTTTGCCAAGTTCACACATGAAATAAACCTCCATTAAATTCCTAATGACCATTAACCAGGGATGTGAACAGGGTGGCCCTCAGTCAGAGAGCAGAGCATGAATTACCTCTAATTACCTCTGACCCTAACCAGCCCAGGGAGGGGCAGTCTCCCTTTAGGGACTTGCCTGGGTGCATCTTTGATAGAAATGGCCATTCAGGGGTCCCATAGACATGAGTCATGTGTTGGTTGCCTTGGTCGGAAGGCCCTGAACTAATCTAGGGGGCTCCTCTGTCTAGTGCAATGTGTGTGTCCTAAGCATTGTCCATTTCCATTTCTATAGTCCAACTGTGACAGACAGAGAGCGAAACTGTGATAGAGAAATCTGCTACCAATCATGTTTTTATAACCATTACACAGACTCCCTTGAAATGTGGCCATTGCTTTCTGCAAACATTTGGCTGATGAGAGTGACCAGGCTGTCCTGGTCACCAGGAGAGGATCAATACAGACCCTGTTGGAAGGATCCTCCTCTGGGACGGCACACCTCTCAGTGCCTCAATTTCCACACGATATTAGTTCAGATTCGGGATCTTCATGTGCCGCTGGCCCTCTCGACACCAGGCCTTCAGAAAGGCCCGTTCTCACCAATTGTCCCAGCTCAGCGCCTTCTCACCTCCCTCCCCCTTCCAGTACATGCTCCGGAGTGTCTTCCAGGTGCTTCTCTCCCCACCAGGTTTCTGGGACCCACTAGGATTTTAGCTTCTTTGGCTGATTCCACTTCTCATGTGAGGCTCCATAGCCTCCCTAGATACGCTTTCCACAAGTCCTAAGCATTGATTGGGGGTACAAAAGAAACTGCATATCCCAAATACGTTGCCACGGTGGTGTAGTGTGTAACACATTGGCTGCCAACCACAAGGTCAGCAGCTTGAAATCACCACCTCCTCCATGGGAGAAAGACGAGGCTCTCTGCTCCGGAAGCGTTACAGTCTCAGAACCCACAGGGGCAGGTCTACCCTGTCCTGCAGGCTCGCTAGGAGTCAGAATCAACCTGATGGCAGGTTCCTGTTTTTGGTTTTGGAAACAGGACAAAGACGAAATGAAGACACATCATCCAGATGTGTAGAGACCATTAGCACAAAGTGGCAATGACACCCAAGGGTTTGACGAGAATCAGAGTGGGTTAGGGCACAAAAGAGACCCCATCTATCAGACGCAGTGTAAGGAGAACATTGTTAAGTCTTAAACAGAGTAAAGGCACCGGTCATTTGGAGGGGGGAGACCATGAGCATGAGGTCACGGCAGCACCCATAGGTTTGCTGGGGAGAGTCAAGGAAATGGACGAAGCACGATTGCCTGCACATCATCACATCATAGTTACAGGTGGGACCACAGAATTGGGAAACAGAACATACACCTTATCTTAGGCAGAAACGCTTACACATTGTCTGGGGCCTTCCAACCAAGGCAATCAGGCATGACTTGTGACTATGTGGCCCCGGTACGGGGACCTCCACAAAGGACACACCCAGACCAGCCCATAAGAGAGATTGCCTCTTCCTACGGCTGGTCAAGGGGGTGCAGGGCTAGTAATCCTCTTTCTAAAGCACTCTGCCTGAGGGCAAGATTGTTCTCCAGGCTGGTTAACAGTCAGGAGTTGAGTGGAGGCTTCATCCACAGGGGGTCTCTGTAAATGGGTTTGGGACTTTCCCTGCAATCTTTCTGCAAACTGCTCATGGCCATGAAGTCTATTCCAACTCAAAGC